GGGTATGGGGGAAGTAGGAGGAGGGGGACTCGCCCCTGGGATAGAGTAGAAGGATATCAGTTAGTTGGAGGTATGTAGGGGTCAGCCCCTGTTCTGTGTCTGGTGGGGAGGGGCAATATCAACGCTGAACTTGGGCTGGTTGGGTGAGGTGACTTGATCAGTGGGGGCTTTTTGGGGTGTGTGTGTGAGGGGGAGTGATGGGATAATCGCCCCTAAGGGTGGGGCGGTGCACACAGATATTTTCTGAGAGTGGTATTTTTTTTCTGTCAGCCTGTTGGTTTCTGTTAACAGTGCTCTCTGTGGAAAAAAACATCCCACAAATAACAAAAGCATGCTCCATTGAAAAAGAGGGACATTTTTAAACACAAGGAACTGAAAATCTTCCTTCAGTCACATTTTAGAGTGAGAAGGAGATGGCAGTGGGAGGATTCAGCTCATAGATGTTGGACATTTTAAGGTTCTTTATAAGACATTTAAAAGATGGTATGGACCTGCTATAAAAGTCTTGGAGAGATTTCAAAACATGAGACACTTGAGAGGGTCACTGTCAAGTTAAAATAATACATTGCAAACTAAGGGTACATCTAGACTACATGCCTCTGTCGCCAGAGGCATGTAGATTAGGCTACCAGACATAGTAAAATGAAGCGGCGATTTAAATAATCGCTGCTTCATTTAAACTTACATGGCTGCTGCGCTGAGCTGACAAACAGCTGATCAGCTGTTTGTCGGCTCAGCGCGGCAGCCATGTAAATTTAAATGAAGCGGCGATTATTTAAATCGCCGCTTCATTTTCCTATGTCTGGTAGCCTAATCTACATGCCTCTGGCGACAGAGGCATGTAGTCTAGATGTACCCTAAGTCTCTGATTGAGCAAAGCACTTAATTCACACACTGATTTGCTTTACTCACATATGCTTTCAAAGTAAGTGTCTGCATGTTTGCAAGCGAATTCCTTAGCTGTATTAGAAATACCGCTGTAAAATGGAAAGAAGTTTAAAAATCTGTTGATACTATATGTTTTGTTTACTTTTGCTTTTTGTTCAGCTTGTAGGTAGAGGCACATCTTCAGCTCCTGTGAATGGGCTCAGCATCAGAGAGGTTAGTGGAACTGTGGCCATTTACATCATCTGATGATATGGCCCTAAAAATTGGCTAGTCTGTTTCATGAAGGTTCACCTGTATTGGCACAGTCTTGCAATGTTTGGGTTAAAAATATTTCCAGGACATGTTTGTTTGTTTAACTTCAGTGGAGGAAAAAATCCTGTAATAGAAGTGGTGGTCTTGAGTTTTGAAGATTACTATTTTTAAAATGATTTGGGGGTCAAATTAAAATACTAACCTGATAACTAGTTAACTGAACTCTTGGCCTGGCTGGAGCATCCCTCCTCCCGCAGCGTGGTGGACACTGCCTGATTTGGAATGGGCCCATTGCATCATACTGTGGGAGTGGGGCTGCTCCAGGGTTAGCCAGTTAAACATAGCACTTAACCAGTTAACATTTTAACCAGGAATTTACATCCCTGGTTTGCTGCAGGATTCTCCACTCCTTCCTTTCTCAACATGTAGGTCAAGGAGTTTTAGTAAGCTTGTAAAAAGCAGCAGCTTTCAGTGGAATTAAAAGGACTATCCTCACACTTTCTCTCCAGTGATCCTATTTATAGTCTGCAGATGTTGGCAGATATGAAAAGATCTGCTGCTGAGTTTTGCCAGGGCAACCTGAGCCACACCATTTCCTTCTAGCACAGTTATAATAGAGTCAGGCTGCTGTAGACATATAGGATAGAAGGAGGAGTCTTACCAAACCCTTCATTCCTGAGTCCAGTCAGAATTAGAATGTAAGAATCCTCATCGGGAACATCACCGTCCCAATTCCCTGCGTCATCTGAGAACCTTTTGGTAACCTTTTGTAAATCATCAGCTGGAGCAGTTCTGCCCCTGTTCTTTTTGTCTGTTGATGTTTTTTAAGATTGATCTTAAATAAAACATTTAAACGTGAACTAATTACAATAAAAATGCAGAGAAACAAGTAAAATACATTTATATAATGAGAAATTAACATTGAAATACCCATATTGCAGTAGGCCATTCAAAATAGGGAGCCCTGTTATGCTGAGAACTGTACAAATGTGTAAGATGCAATCTTTGCCCAAGGAGCTTAAAACAAATTCTCAGGTCTTGACAGGAGTCTCAGCCCCTGCCCTAAAGAGATTATGGATAAAATAAAAAAAATGAATGTATATAGATCTTTTATTTCATTTTTGAGCAGTAGAGCTCAAAGCATTTTTAAAAAGTATTCTTATACATATAGATATTTTTTGCATGTACAAATCAAACTGTGATGACCATATGCACTTGCAAAGCTGTAATTTACTTCTAATGTTCTAGAATATTCTGTAGAAGTTTGATCCCAAAAACTACTGGAGTCAATAGGAGTCTTTCTTTATGGCACTAATAGGGCTTGAGGATTTGTTCTGAACTTGTCAGAGTAATATCTTTTTATTCTAGTATCTCATCATATGTTTTTCTGGCATTGATAATACTAGCTCAACTAACTGTTTGTAATGCTTACTTTAAATCTTGACCTTTTAAATTCTTTATGAGGTATATTTCTGGTGTATACAATGTACTGTTTATTTTGAGCTCCTTCAGTGTTAAAAATCCCTAAAATGGAACTGATTAGATGATGGTAGATGTTTTTTTAAAACTTCTTCTTTGCGTTTCAGGAAGAGCTGGGAATCTCCACTATTTACCTACAATGTCTGGGATCGGCAACAAGCGGGCGGCAACAGAGCCTGGCCCCTCTGTGCCCCCCGAGAAAAAGGCAGGGGTTGAAGACTCAGGAACCACAGTGGAGACCATTAAGTTAGGCGGTGTTTCCTCAACGGTATGTGTATCTGACTCCTCCCTCACCCTCTTCCGTAATGAACCCCAAACTCCTTGATCCCAGCCATGCCCTGCAGGTAATACAACCAACTTCCTCACCTCGAGCATGTTGTTTTTGTTTTCATTCTCACCCAAGCCCAAAGACCTTGCTCAAAATCCCTCTTATAATTCGGGGTAGAATAGAACTGTACTGCATTAAGTGCACTGATGTGACCCTTGCCTCTGTGCAGGAGGAACTGGACATCCGGACATTGCAGACCAAGAACCGAAAGCTGGCGGAGATGCTGGACCAGCGGCAGGCCATTGAGGATGAGCTGCGGGAGCACATTGAGAAGCTGGAGCGGCGGCAGGCCACCGATGATGCCTCTCTGCTGATAGTCAACCGTTACTGGAGTCAGGTCATGCTCAGTTACTGCATGCTCAGTCAACTGTCTTCTTCTTTCTGTTGTCTTGCCTCTTTTACGCTGATGCTCTGCAAGTTGTGTAACTTCTCATTTTGTCCTTTTTTTCCAGTTTGATGAAAATATCCGCATCATTCTTAAGCGCTATGACCTGGAACAAGGTCTTGGAGACCTTCTGTCTGACCGAAAAGCCTTGGTGGTACCAGAACCAGAACCAGACTCGGACAGCAATCAGGAACGTAAGGATGAGAGGGAGCGAGGTGAGGCCTCATGCCATGTAGTATATTTGTCTTTGGCAGGTTGAGAAAATAGACTTCAGTGGGGGAAGGGTTGATGTTCTGGGCCCTCTGGGGAAAATGAATGATTGCAGATATTGGTGACTACTTCTTTCACGACACACAAATGTACTCGCATCCATTTCCTTCACCTCTTTGTCTCCTAGGGGAAGGTCTGGAGCCAGCATTCTCCTTCTTAGCCACCCTGGCCAGTAGTACCAGTGAGGAGATGGAGTCTCAGCTTCAGGAGCGTGTGGAGTCCTCCCGGCGAGCTGTTGCTCAAATTGTGACCAAGTATGACAAGCTTCAGGAGAAGATGGACATTCTGTCCCAGAAGTTGAATAGTGGAGGTATGGCAGAGCTCTTTGACTGCTATGCTTACAAATTCCAGCTTTTTTAACACATTGAGTCAAGAATAACTTAGTTCCTGCCATGTAAGTGTCAAGGGTCATATTTTTCCTCTCAGACTAGAGCACCAAAATGAAATGTCCAGGTTTTGCAAAATACACCAGAACAGTGGGGTCTTTATTGGCAGCTGAGTGTACTGAAAATCTGTCCCTCGGTCCTAAAGGCCTTTTTCAGATAGTTAATTTACTGAAATGCTGAGAAGTGTCTTGTATGTGGAGTCTAGGTAAAGAGCATCTCTTGTTTATCCATTTGGAAATACTTAAGTCCCAATGGAATCGTACATCCCTGACGTAATCTGCCACTACGCAGAAGCCGCTGCCAAGAGCAGCAGTACAGAAATTTTATCCAAAGGGGGAACAATAGAATCGGGTACCAGTCTCCTTCCTTTCATAATTTGCCAGCAGTGGGGGCTGCTGAGGACAATTCTTGGATTCCTTATGGTTTTGGGGCAGTAACTCACCTGGACAAGATGTTAGCTGTCTGATTCCTTGGGTTGATTATTATTTGACACAGAGATGGATGGTAATAACATAGCCCTGAGGGAAGATTGCAGAGTTCAAACTGAGCAGCGGGGCTCATTCACTGAAAAGGTGATTTGTATAAGGCTTAAATGAACCCATGAAAAAATCTTCAAAAGTAGCTCAGATTGATCTAGGTTCACTTAATTCCCAGGCTCAGTTCTCTGAAAAGTCGGTGAAGCTGGCCTGTGTTTTGAGTTTGTATGTTTAGGAAAGCCAAACTCAGCTCTGCACAACAGACAAGAAATTCTTACACTCTCCTTAATTTCCCCACTGCTAATTGGAATAGCATAATAGATAAGAGCTACGAGTAGAGCAACTGTTTGTCTTCTTTCAGATTCTCCTCCACTTTTCTCTTTCCACCATTCTAAATAGGTTTATTATGTTGTTTCCCCGTCCCCTTTGCTTGCTAATTGCTAAATTGAAGACTCATGTTCATGACTCCCCTTTCATTTCCTTCCCTCTCATTCTCCTGCCCCTCTCAGATCCATCACTGGTGGATGAAGCGGTCCAGGAGCTAAATTCCTACCTTGCTCATGAAAATGGACGGCTGCATGAACTGTCTGATTTACTGCAGGAAAAGCACCGCATCATGTCTCAAGAGGTACAAGAAAGGAAAATGGATTCTCTGTGTTTGTGCTTTTTTGATCCCCATCAGGAATATTGAATAATTCTGGTTACTGTAGCACAGTAAGTATATTATTGCCATGGAGAAGGTGAACTGTAGAGCATCAGGGATGATTAGGTCTGAAGAATTCAAGTTCTGAGCAAAGGCTAAGGGAGGAGTAATGAGTTTTGGAGAACTGTAATGTGCACTGTATCAGAGGGGTAGCCGTGTTAGTCTGAATCTGCAAAAGCGGCGAGGAGTCCTGTGGCACCTTATGGACTAACTGAAGTGTAGGAGCATAAGCTTTCGTGGGCAAAGACCCATTTCGTCAGATGCATCTGTTAGTCTGTAAGGTGCCACAGGACTCCTCGCCGCTTTTGCAGATTCAGACTAACAGTGCACTGTACTTCCGTGTGAATCTGGAAGAGAATCATGTTGTAAAGTACCCGACAAACTTGAATGAAGCATTGAACTGATAAACTAAATCCAGGTGTTAAAAGAACACCTGGATTGATTGCTAGAGAAAAACGGGAGTGAGGGCATAGTGGGGAAGAGCAGGGGAAAAAGTAGGGAGGTGCTACTAAGATGCTATTAAAAACAACTGGCAGGTTGGAGCTGTCATGTTTCCGTTCCAATGGTTATTTGAGGTGTAAGAGCCTTCATTACAAAAGATTCTAGCCCTGAAGAGTGTTGCTTCTGAAATTTCATCTCTTGAAATTCCAGTTCTTGTTAACCATGTAGAAGGCTGATCTTCTTCACACCATGTCAGATGAGCATTCAAGGGATGTGTCTAAGAACCAATTACAAATATTTAAGTGTAGAATTCAGTGCTCCATGTGCAATACATTTAAGGAGCTGCTACCTCATTCCGCCAAAAGCCACAAGCTTCTTGAGCCTCTTCACTTTCTATTTTCTTCTTTCTCTGCCCTGCACTGGGATTCTCTGGTCTGAAATTTTGAACAGCTATAAGTGGCATCCTGCCCCTTTTCTCAAAGTGGCTCCTGAGTAAAATACAGGGGCAATGTAGAACTGCAGAAGACAAGACGTGAATGGATCCAGGGAACTCTGAGTGAGTGAAGTTAATGCTGGACAGTCCAGGTAGGCTGTGAATCCGACACTGCTTCTTATCCTAACTGATGCCCCCTTTGTCCCTTTGCTGTAGTTCTCCAAGTTGCAGGAGAAAGTGGAGATGGCAGAGTCACGGGTGTGTGTGCTGGAGACCATGATCGATGACCTTCAGTGGGATATTGACAAGATCCGCAAGAGAGAGCAGAGGCTCAATCGGCATCTGGCAGACGTGCTGGAACGGGTAATCACCGAGCCCTTTGAAAGGCGCGCCAGGGCTAGAGCAGCTCAGAGCTTAGCAACACTCGTTAACCTCTTCCTAGAGAAAGAGAGGGGACTCTTCATGGAGCCTTCCTCTACCTTATTAACTCACTACAAATTGGAATGGCATAACAGATGTGAGCTAAGCCTGGAGCGACTGTCTCCTGGTTGTGCAAGTGGGCTAGCTGGAAGTGGGGCAGGATTGAAGCACTACGTATTTTTGTTACAAATTCTTCATCCTCGTTGCAGGTAAATTCAAAAGGTTACAAAGTCTATGGAGCCGGAAGCAGCCTCTATGGGGGAACGATCACCATCAATGCTCGTAAGGTAAAACCAAAGCCTGTGGCGTTGGTGGGGCAAGGGAAGCTTTGATTTTTGAAGGATAGCATGGATGGTTCAGTGCCTGAGAAGGCCTGACTCTGAATCCTTGCTCTGCCACAGACTTCCTGTGTGACCTCAGGCAAGTCACTTAGCTTCTCTGGGCATCAGGGATAACAACACTGCCCTGCATATGTCACAGGAGACTTACAAGGATAAAAACATTAAAGACTGTGAGGTGCTCTGATACTGTGGTAATTGGGGCCATATTAGCACTGTAGATAGATGCAAAATGGGGTTTTCAATACATTAAAAACTTTGGTTGTGTTTTCTTTTCAGTTTGAGGAAATGAATTCCGAGCTGGAGGAGAACAAGGAGCTGGCTGGGAACCGCCTCAGTGAGCTGGAAAAATTGCGCCAGGATCTTGAGGAGGTGACAACACAGAATGAGAAACTGAAGGTAGGAGCAAAGTTCTCTGGGGTGTGTGTGAAGGCGAATGCATGTGATTAATGCCTCTCTGCCTCACTCTGTTGAATCTGTGTACAACTTCTTTAGTTTCTTCTGTGAAACTCGATTTTTCTCTTCACTCTGTCTCTGTTTCAGGGTCTTTCACTGCGTTTGAGTGATGTTTTACATGCAGTAGGCTGGGATGCTAATGAGAGGCCAGGGTTTTGCTGTGACAGTCATTCTTGGTGCAGTGGTGACACCATGTGGCCAATAAAGGGAATCATAGCTGTCTCTATTTCCTGAAGCAAAATGCAGGACTATGTAGCACTTTAAAGACTAACAAGATGGTTTATTAGATGATGAGCTTTCGTGGGCCAGACCCACTTCCTCAGATCAAATAGTGGAAGAAAATAGTCACAACCATATATACCAAAGGACCGTGTGTTTCTTTTATCCATCTTCAATGACCACCTGTCAGTAATAATTACTGTCCAAGAGGGCAGGGTTACTTTTTTTCCCCAGCTCTATTTGTGGGAAGCTATTGCAGAGTTCAGTGATCAACAAATCCAATTATTTGTCTGAGAGAGAGAGAGAGGCTAGTGAATGGAAGTGAGACAGGAGAAAAGAACTTAGAGTTCCCGCAGTGGACAGAACATAAAAATGTTCCAACTTGATAGTACTATATTTTTAAGACTTTTCTTTGGGTTTGTTTTCAATTTGTGAAACGAGTTGTTGATTTCAGTCTGGTTCTTGGTTGTCCACATTATAGGAATCATAATGTGACTATGATTCTCCCAACTGACAGCGTGGGCGACAGGAAGCTTGAGTGGGCCAGGAAAATGAGTCATTTCACTTCTAGATCTGGCTTGTCCAAGGGCAGCTGTGGTGAAGGGACGTTTACCATGCTGTTCTGTGCGGTGTCTCTAGACTCCACTACAAAACTCCTGCAATAAGAGAGTTCACAAAGCTATTCCATAACCTTATGGAAATTCTGTTGAGTCAAAGGAATGAAGTGGATGTGGAAGGAGTATGGGCTTTTTAGTTCTGTTCTTTCTGTGTTTGGCATCCGCTCTGAGGTAACATTTCTTTCCTATCCATGTCCCTCCTCGTCGTCTTGGGATTGTGTTTCTCCACCCAGATGGAATTGCGGAGGGCAGTGGAAGAGGCTGTGAAAGAGACGCCAGAGTACCGATGCATGCAGTCCCAGTTCTCGGTCCTGTATAACGAGAGCCTCCAGCTGAAGGCGCATCTGGATGAGGCTCGCACTCTGCTTCATGGCACGCGCAACACACACCAGCGCCAGGTGGAACTCATTGAGGTAACCACCTCATTCCTCCATCTCCTCTTTGAGATCTTCTCCTCGGCACTAGCCCTCTGGCTGGCCTTGGAGTGGACTCAACACTTTGCAGTGACCTTCGCAGGCTCAGTGGTTCTTCTATTTTTTAGGCGGCTAATAATCCTCTCCTCTTCTGTAGGAGCAGATTGATGAGGAAATGTGAGACTCCTGGATCATAGCACTAATCTCTGTTCTCCTCCCCCTCTTGCTCCCCAGCGGGATGAAGTCAGCCTCCACAAGAAGCTGCGCACAGAGGTGATCCAGCTAGAGGACACTTTGGCACAGGTCCGCAAGGAGTATGAGATGCTGAGGATAGAGTTTGAACAGACTCTTGCTGCCAATGAACAAGCAGGTACCAAGTCTTTTCCCATTGTGTTAACTTTTGCTTGTGAGGAGAGGTTGCATTTCAGAAAGCTAAGGTACAAAATGAGTCAGGAGTAGCAAGGGAGCTAAAAACAGTGAGAGGAGGTTCTAAAAATACATCAGAAGTAAAAGAATGATGAAGGAAAGTATTGGTCCAATGTTTTAATGGGGAAGGAGAGCAAATAATAATGAGACAGAGAAGGCTGAAGTGTTTATTCCCAGTCTTCACTTTAACTGGGACCATTTGTTTAACATCATTAGTCCAGATGACATTACTGTATGGTGGTTGCGCAAGTGATTGAAAGACCATACTCAAAAAGTAGTTATCAATAAAGCTACGAATCTGTCATGGAGGTCATGGATTCTGCAATTTGTATGAGCCCTCCATGGCATCATGAAAATTGCAGTAATTCAGCCTCAAGTGGAGGGACTTTGGCCTTGCTGACTCATCTTAGGCTTCAGTGAATCCAAGATCTGTTGTTTGTTGCCCAAGTCCTGTCTGTGACCTTTTAATAAAAATACCTATGCCAAAATCATAGCCTTAGTTGTCAGTGGTTACTGCCTAATTGAGAGAACATATATAGTGGGCTCCTCCATGGGTCGATCTTTAGTCCAGGACTAGTCCATATTTTCACTAATGACTTGGATGATAGAGTGGAGAGTGTGCTTATAAAACTTGCAAGCTGCTTGGGACAGAGAGTTGCAAGCACGCAGATTAGAGGTCAGGATTAAAATTTAGAATAATCTGGATAAACTGGTGAATTTGGTTAGAAGTCAGCAAAACAATGAAAATCACAGAAGTGAAAAGTACAACACTTAGGAATGAAAAATCAAATGTGCAAGTACAAAATGGGGAATAACTGGCAGTCATAGTTATAGGGTCTGATGATATCGAGGATCACGGCCTGACTTTAGGTCAAGAGTGTGCTGCTGTTACAGAAAATCCAAATGTCATTATAGGATGTTGTAACAGGGGTGTTATGTATAAGATATAGGAGATCATTGCTACATTCAGCATGGGGAGGCCTCTAAAAGCACCACAGCCCACTGGTTAACCATAACCGGTAAGCGATGCTTACTGGTTAACCATTTGGGAGGCCTCTAAAAGTACCACAGCCCAGTGGTTAACCATAACGGGTAAGCGATGCTTACTGGTTAACCATTCACATCCCTATTGTGGCCTGTGGTAACTTGACTGTGTGTCTTTTGTAGGGCCAATAAATCGGGAGATGCGTCATCTCATCAGCAGCCTCCAGAATCACAACCACCAGCTGAAGGGGGAAGTGCTGAGGTACAAGCGCAAGCTGAGGGAGGCCCAGTCAGACCTGAGCAAGGTACCGGAGATGCTGGAAGACAGTGGGGGAAGTGGAGAGGGAGGAAAGCCTGCTCTAGCAGAGCACAGGCTATGAGTCTGTTTCTGCTTCCATAGGCTGTGGGGAAAGCATAGCAGGCTCCAGTTTTCCATTAGGCTCTATGCAGCAGCCTCACCTTGGATTCCCACCTCCCACAGAGTGGATCTCCCCCCATGGCTGAGTTCTGCTCTGTAAAAACATTGGCAATGGCATCTGAGGGAGACATGCACAAGGGTGGCAGTGAGGAATGTGTTCCAGCTGACAACTTCTCCTATTCACTTGGTTTATTTCCCTTTGTGTCCCCCCGCCCCACTGTTCCCCTCCAGACCCGCTCCCGCAGTGGGAGTGTCCTCCTGCAGTCCCAGTCTAGCACGGAAGAGATCAAGGAGGAACCACCAGAGGTCAAACAGGAGCCTGACGATTCCTCTGCTCAGGCATCTGTGCTCAAGGCTGCCCCCGAGGATGCTGGGGAAGCCAAGGCCAAGCGAGATGAAGAGGAGAGGGAGCGTGAGAGACGGGAGAAGGAGAGGGAGCGGGAGAAGGAGAAAGAGAAGGAGAGAGAGCGGGAGAAGGAGAAGGAGAAGGAACGGGAGCGGGAAAAGCAGAAGCAGAAGGAGTCGGAGAAGGAGAGAGAGTCCACCAAGGACAAAGGGAAGCATGAGGATGGGAGGAAGAAAGAGGCAGAAGTGATCAAGCAGCTGAAGGCTGATCTCAAGTAAGAAGTCCTTCTGAACCTCTTGCTCCTATTTTCCAACATCGTTCCCTAATCAGGGGTATGCAGGGAGCATAGCTAGAAACCCCTGATTGCCAGAATTAAGACACTAGCTTTTGGAACTAAAGGTAACTCTGGTGACATGTTTATGCCCAAGGGACACACATAATGGAGATGGCATTTAAAGACCTCCTCAATCTGCAAACTTTACTGGTTACAGTTCTCTGAAAGGTTGGGGCTTGTCAGGTGCAGATTTCCACTCAAAGGCCATGCTCGTCTAGGGTCATGCCTGAGAGAGTTGATAGTTTACCACCAAGGTGAATGCCTCTGCTGCTCTTTCCTTCCTGTTCTGAGTCCATGTCTCTGTTGGAGAAGATGGCGAGAAGGTTATTCTTGCTTTCCAGCAGACTGAATCACAGCATAGCATTTTTCCTAAAGAATCAAAGAGGTGTTTTTTCTTTCACTGTTGCCAGGAAAGCCCAGGAGAGCCAGAAAGAGATGAAACTCCTGTTAGACATGTACCGCTCTGCCCCAAAGGAGCAGAGAGACAAAGTTCAGCTCATGGCCGCTGAGAAGAAAGCCAAAGCTGAGGTAACAGTATCCCATTTCTGTCCTCCCTTTTCTCTTGCCTCTCACCATTCATCACAGGGATGGGGAACCTTTTTTGGTCAGGGGCCACTGACCCATAGAAAAATCAGTTGGGGGCCCCACACAAGTGAGAAGCACTCCACTCAGGATGCTGGGGCTCTGCTCGCATACCCACCTCACGGGGGATTTGGGGGTACAGAGACTTGCTGTGGGGCCGGAGCATGAGCAATGGTTTCCTCTGCTGCGGAGGAAGCCCCGAGCTTCGCCATGGGCCAGATCAAAGTAAGTTGGGGGCCGGATTTGAACCATGGGCTGTAGGTTCCCCGCCCTGATCTAACAGCTGCTCTTGAAATACCCTCCTTAAGCTTCTTGTAGGGCTGTTTTGTCTCTTCCTGACTCCAGAATGTCCCCCCACCCCTTCTTCTGTCTGTCTGGGAGTACAGGCAGAAGATTGGCCTCTTTCTTTCTTTCTTTCTTTCTTTCTTAAGGATTTTCCATGGTGAATCTTTATGGGGAAATTGATTCCTTAAGAGTCCTCCTTGCTGTTCTATTCCCTGCCTAGCCTCAGAGATCTTTCTCTCTTCCCCTTCCCCACATCTCATCCCTTTAATCCTTGCCGTAGCTGGATGAGCTGAGGCAACGGGTGAAGGACCTGGAGGACAAGGAGAAAAAAGAGAGTAAAAAAATGGCAGATGAGGATGCCCTACGCAAGATCCGAGCGGTGGAGGAGCAGATTGAGTATCTGCAGAAGAAACTAGCCATGGCCAAGCAGGTGAGAGAAACTTAGGGAAATGCCCTCTTGTGGAGCAGACCTTGTCAGGAACCGATTGGAATTCCATGGGAGAGCATTCATAGCCCACATCCACCACCATCATCAGAGATTTCCATGGTGTAACTGGGCAGCGTGAGGTAAGGGTTAATCTGTCTACATGCACATCCGGCTAGAGAAACCCTGCTGCGGTGGGTAATGCATGGGCTGAGTGAAGAGATGGGAGGGTCAGTCTGTGGTGAGGTTACATGGTGTTTCATTTGTAAAATACACTGGAGTTGTGCCTTGCGTGGCCAGGAAAATTGACTCAAATTAACTGAAGTTGTGAATTCATAATGGATTAGATAACTGCATCAAACCCCTGTCCGGGCACTCTGATTCAGAATAAGATTAACTGAATGAAGACCAGTGTAAATCAGTTTGGAATTAGATAAACCTGAATCTTATACGAATCAGAAATTACAACAATGGGTGGGAGAGTATATAATAAGTACCAATGTATAAGGAACAGGTATGTTGGCTAATGGGGATACCCCCGCATTATAAAGGCAGGATGGCGTGAGGGTGAACAGAGCACAGTACTTGGGGCCTGTCCCTGTTTCTTGTCAGTTAATAGCAGAGATCTTTGGCTGAACCCACCTTGGGTTCAAGATGGGGTTTAAGGGGCTGGATGGCTCATGGAAGTAGTAATGAGCTGCAGGGTCTTGGACTATTAGTTTTATTGACCTTCATTCAAATTCAGTCCAAAGCTGTTACAATCTGATGGGTGCCCACCAAATCATTTCAAACAGGTCACTGGTCCCTGTCTAGTTCCCAGTGGAGCGGTGGCCATGTACCAGCTAGAGGCAACTTTCACTTTGGTTGGCTTTCCTAGGTCAAGGACTGGAGTAGGGATGTAAGGGACTAATCGACTATCCAATAAGTATAAGCTTATTGGATAGTTGACTAGTGACTCGACTAGTTGCTTTCCCCCCTTTCTGCCCCTCTCTGAGAGAGATAGCAAGGGGAGGGGAGAGTGGGAGCTGGCTTAAAAGCCAGCTCCCCCCAGCACTATCTCCATGGGAGGCAGGGGAGGTAGAGGCACTGCAGGAAATGGTGCGAGCAGGGCCTGAAGCTGTCTCCACTCATGACAGTTCTGCTGCGATTCTGCTTTTGAAATGTACAAGAACCCCAGTGAGGCTCTTGTACATTTCAAAGCCTCAGGTGCTGAAGGGAGTGTGGGGCTAGTCCCCTGCTGGTCCCACTCTCCCTGCGGGGCTTCCACTTTTGAACTGTAGCAAGAGCCCTACAGGGCTCTTGTACAGTTCAGTTGGGCTCTCGTTAAAGTTCAAAGGTGGAGGTACCCTCATCAGCTAATCGAATAGTCGATGGAAATCCAATCAAGTGTTCGATTAGTTAATTAACCTAAATTTAACATCCCTAGACTGGAGGCCTATGGAGACTGAGATACCAACTGTCCCCTAGCAGAGTAACCACTAGTTCAGTGCTGAGTTGCCTGCTCTTTGGTTTCAGGGAGGTCATTGGTCTCCAGGATGTTGATCTGCAGCTTTCATCAACACTACATTTTGTTTCTTTAATAAAAGCAGGGGTTAGAAGTGTTCCAGTGGAGGGGGGAAAAGAGATTGCAATTCCAGAGTGTTTCCATCTCTGTTCCAGGAGGAAGAGGCCCTGCTCTCAGAAATGGATGTCACCGGACAAGCCTTCGAGGATATGCAAGAGCAGAACATTCGCCTGATGCAGCAGCTGCGGGAGAAGGATGATGCCAACTTCAAGCTGATGTCAGAACGCATCAAGTCAAATCAGATCCATAAGCTACTGAAGGAGGAGAAGGAGGAGCTGGCAGACCAGGTCCTGACCCTGAAGACACAGGTAACCAGAAGAGGGTTGGTGGGAGGAAATGCTCCAATGGATCCGGACAAGCTGCTGCTTAGACTTGTTTTAAACGTTTTCAGTGAAGCACTGAGCAATGCCAGTGATCCCCAAACTTTTCAGTTCTCTCTGGAGCCAGGAGCGAGGCTGCAGCTCTTTGTGTGTGGGGGGGATGATGGATGGAGTATGGGATCTACAGCTGGAGGTGTGTCTGGGGCCAGAGGGGGGCTGGGAATGGAGCTGCAGGGGTGGGAATGGAGCCATAGCTGACTGCGGAGATGAGGATGGAGCCAGGCATGGAGCTGGAGCTGGGGCTAGGACTGAGTGGCACACTCCCTACTCCCCATGAAGTCTAGCACAAGCCTCCCCACACCCTCTGAATATTCCTCTGTCCCCCCCTCTGGTGGTGCACCCCACAGTTTGGGGACCTCTGAGCTAAGCAAGCAGAGATTATGAAATGTGAAATCTCTTAGAGAGAGGTTCACCACCACGTAGGACTTTGAGATGGAAAAGGGGAGGGCTCTTTCAATCATGTGAGAGAAGGTTTCTCCTAGATTGGCATCCACCCCTCCCACAGCCCTCTTCTGGGAGCCCGAATGCTTTTGAATGATTCTACTCGTCCAAAGGAGAGGGACAGATGTGTCTAACAACCCGTTCTGGATGTCTGATAGCTGCGTGTGTGCATGTTCACTTGGGAGTTGTGGGAAATTATCCCCTTGGCTGAATAAAAATAAATGGAGATATACCTATCTCATAGAGCTGGAAGGGATCTTGAGAGGTCATTGAGTCCAGTCCCCTGCCTTCATGGTAGGACCAAGTACCATCCCTGCCAGATTTAGCCCCAGATCCTAAGTGGCTCCCTCAAGGATTGAGCCCACAACCCTGGGTTTAGCAGGCTAATGCTCAAACCACTGAGCTATTGGCTCCACCCACCTACAGTTTGATCTCTGTTGGTCCATGTCTCTGCATCCTGAGAGAGGAGTGGGAAGAGAGAAGACACAGTGATGAGTAAATGTGATGATTGCAGCATTTAGTTTGCACCAAGGGCGTTGTGACCTGAGGAGGAGGAGAACATTCCAAGACCAAATACCAACAGCGCATGTTCTATATGTTTCTCTCCTCTTCCCCTTTGGAAGGTGGATGCTCAGTTACAAGTTGTGCGAAAGCTGGAGGAAAAGGAACACCTGCTACAGAGCAACATTGGCACTGGAGAGAAAGAGCTAGGCCTCCGAACCCAGGCGCTGGAGATGAACAAACGCAAGGTGAGCATGAACCCTTGGCTCGCAAGGCTGAGTTTTCTTCAGCTTGTGGAAGTTTGTGCCAGGCTGCTAGCCCTGCATTTCTCTGGTGCATTTGGGTTTTCCATGTCATTCCACCATTAAGCAGAGGGAAACCAAATAATATTCTAATTAAGGCACAATAGTCTGACACAGAATGCAAGGAACAAGAGCCATCACAGTAGTTTCATGAAAGACTGAGGAGAAAGCTGAGGATAAAAGGAAAACTCTATTGCAAGTGGAAAAAGAAGAGACCATGAAATGAACATAATTGGGAAATGTTAAGGCGTGCAGAGAAAAGATGAAGCCAGTAAAAAAGTGAAATGGCTTGGGGGTAACATATGGGGTTTTCACTAATAAGTTTAGGGGCAATGAAGAAAGCAGGACTGTTAATAAGGAGTGAAATTAGATGGGCCCCATATCACAGATTCTGCCTTCCTTCTCTTTAAATGTCCTGCCAAGAAAAATGCTGAGAAAAATCTGAACAGGTTTTAAAGAAGGCAGATAAAAGTATCCCTTTGTAACCAATACTCAGCTATTCTGGATGTCACGTCTTATGGTATAAAGGAAATTTAGCTAAATGATTTATTGATCAACTGATTTTTAAAAAAAATCCTGGGCAGTTAGTGGAGTGCTGGAAGGCTAGAAGAAAGAAAATAAGGCTCTGGCCTTCATAAAAAGGATAGAGTGTGATTGTGGTAGTTCTCTAGTTTAAATAGAACTGTCACAAAAATATGTATAAGGTGCGAGAGCCATCCAGGAGAGTCCAATGCCACTCACCTAATTAGCAAAGTGGCCACAGCCGGCAGCATGTGTTTCTGTTGGTGGTACACATCCACACATGTCTTGGTGCAAAATAAAATTTATTCTGCACATGGATGGAAAAAATTAGAGGGAACATTGGCCAGAAGCAACAGGACCATGGGGACATAAGGCTATTTGAAGGGTATAAACACTGAGAAGGGGCATTAGTCCTCTGTCTCTTGCTAGAGAATTAAACTAAGGAAAGTTTAGGCTGATTGTTAAGAACTTGTGGACAGTGAGATCTGAGGTTGTTGAGCAGGCCCTCAAGGGAATAGTCTAAATCCCTTAGCTTGAATCTTCTGTAACTAGATGGAGGTCGGAGGGGTGGGAATCTGAAAAGTACCGTAGGGCACAGTTTTGGCAGGCAAGGATTTGGACGGAAAGATTTTTTTTCTAGTTTTTTTTTTCTGTCTCCAACATCTGTAAATCTATGGCCATCTCCTTCAATAGGCAATGGATGCAGCCCAGCTTGCAGACGATCTCAAAGCACAATTAGAGCTGGCTCAGAAGAAGCTACATGACTTTCAGGATGAGATTGTGGAGAACAGTGTGACTAAAGAGAAGGACATGTTCAACTTCAAACGGGCTCAGGTATGTCATGCACCACAGTCCTTCATTGTCACTTCCCCTGGCTTCTGCACTCAGCCTCTCTGGTTTGGCCTACTTTGAGATCTTTGGGGTGGACCCCTGATCGTATTCCAGTACAGGTTTAACCTGCCGCTGTTGTCTTGTGAGAGGCTGTTGCAGTGCATTGGAAGAATGGAGGAGAGGGATGGAAGCACATCATAGGCATACTGCACTGTGCACTTCAAAAGGCCCATTTCTGTACCCTTGAAGCTCTGTGGAGAAACCGTCTCAATTATTTATTTGTTGGTCTCTTCTCCTCCTGCAGGAGGACATCTCCAGGTTGCGCAGGAAGCTGGAGACCACCAAGAAACCTGACATGGTGCCCAACTGTGATGAGATCTTGATGGAGGAAATCAAGGATTACAAGGTGAGAAACTCGCTGTCCCCTGTTCACGTTTTCCTGGCCAAAGGGTTTAGTCTTCATATTTGTTCAGTACTGGCCTTCCTTAGCCGTACCCTTTTAGTGAGGGCCAACTCTGTGCTGGAGGAACCACCTTCTCCTTGGGTAGAGGGCAAAGCCTCCTTCCCACGATGGTTCATTTCCTACCTGAAAGTTCTGCAAAGGTCTGTCATGCGTGGTAGCTTAGAGACTCCTTTTCCTCCTGCAGGCGCGCCTGACCTGTCCATGCTGCAACATGCGTAAGAAGGACGCAGTGCTCACCAAGTGCTTTCACGTCTTCTGCTTTGAGTGTGTGAAGACGCGCTACGACACCCGCCAGCGCAAGTGCCCCAAGTGTAACGCTGCCTTTGGTGCAAATGACTTCCATCGGATCTACATCGGCTGAGCCTCCCCCTGGAGAGCCCGAGGCACCTGATCTGCTGCCTGCCCCTTTCTCTGATTGTCTGTCACCAGCAGGGCAGTCACTGCTTCTCCACCAACCCATCTCCTCTTCCAGCACCCTGGGTTAGAGAAGCATGTTTAGGGTCTCTGCTCATCTTCTCTTCCTATCTGCCTTTCCCTTTAATTTGGACAGGACCTCTACTCCACGCTGTGGAGACAGGGCTGTTACTGGGCAGTGCGAAAGCCTAACTCGAAGGGTGGTGGGACTTCCCTGTGGCAGAGTAGAGATGAGCCTGAGGCCTTGAATTAACAAGTCCACTCTGGGTATTAAATGGAACAATTTGGGTAATTGTTTTTCTATTTTCCCCTGCTTACAACAAACCCCTTGGAAGACGGGAAACTGGTGTCCTTTCTAGAAACGCCCTCCCTCCCCCCAGAGTGTGTGCACGCTGGTAATTGTCTTTGTAGGGGCCCTTGTGAGGGCTGGGCAGCGCACCTCGCTTCTTTTATTCTCGTAAGGTTGTTCAGTGTGAATAGCCGACCAGTTAAAGACCCTGATACGGGAGGGAACTTCAGCACAAGTGATAGTGACCTCAACGGGAGGACTTGTATGCTGAAAGTTGGGCATGTGGTTAAGTGCCTTTCTGGTTCAGGGCCAGACATTGCAAGGAGAGCCATAGAAGAAGCAGGGGGCAGCTGAGAAGATGATGCCTCCCGCACTCAAAGGCATGCATACAGCTTAATATCAGGAAGGGGAGAGAGAAGTATAGGAGAACCCTCGAGAATAGCATTCCAGTGATGAGCCTATTTGGGCTGGATGGGAGATGGACACTTTTCTGCCCCCTTCTGCCTGGCTGGACGCTCACTAGCATTGTCCATGTTTTCCGGAAGATGATTTGCAGTGGTTACTTGGGTACAGCTTTGCCACAAGGACTATTCTTGTTGCGCACAAGCACCAATAAAAACTGTGGTTCCATTGGTTTTGTTGATTTTCTTGTCTGAGTAAATCAGGGGTTGGCAGCGTGTGACCCCCGTGCCAGACGTGGCATGTGGCTTGGCCGGTGGGGCTGTGACAGGCGGCTGCCCCATGTGCTGCAGCTGGAGCCGGGGCGCAGTGAGGCTGTCCCTGCTGGGGCAGCCTCACCCCAGCCCTGGTTCCTGTTTTGCATCAGCCACGTAGCCTGGATGGCAGAGCTGCATGGCAGAGCGGGGTTGCTCTGGGAGCTGGAGCTGGGCTGTGGTGAGGCTGTCCCTGGTGGGGCAACCTCACCACAGCCCTGGTTCCTGCTCTGTGGCAGCTATACGGCCCGCCCGGCAAGGCTGCATGGTGGGCAGCTGCTTTGGAGGCCAGGGCTGCTGCAGGGGGTGGCCAACGTGGGGCTGCTCAGCATAGCAGAGTGGGGCTGCTCCGGGGACAGCTACGCCATGTGGGGGAGCAGAGCACCCCCGATCTGGCTGCTAGAGTGGGCTGAGGCACAGTGGCCACGGGGAGGAGGGGAGCTTTCTCTGGGGTTCTGTTTTCCTGCTTTGGATGAAGATGGCAGGTGTGGAGTCCTGTCCCTGCCTCCTCCAGCCTGCCACTCTCCACCCTGTTGCGCAGCCTCAGCGCTCCCCACTCCGCTCGCCTCCCTTTCTGCCTCACGGTGCCCCCAGCAGGCGGGCCAAAGGGCACTGAAGTCACTCCCTGCCACCAGCACCACCCCCGCCGGGCCCCCGCCAGAGGGTGAGTGCTGCCCTGGCTGCAACTCCAGCGCTGGGTGGCAGTGGGGGTGGCTGAGGGGAGAAGAGAACGCCCCAAAGTCACATTAGCGCCTGGGTCCTGGCAGGAAGGTGAGGGCACCATGGACCAGACCCTCACGGGACCCTGCCCCCAGCAGGGCTGGACACTCCAAGGTCACTTCCCCGCCCCCGATCCCAGCCTGTGCTGAAGATCCAGCATCATACCCCCTGCAAGATTGGAGTCAGCACCGGCTTCTTGCACAGGAGGAGAAACCCCGAGGTAGCGTACATGCTGCTCCTCCCCTGCCCAAAGGAAAATCTGGGGCGAAGCCCAGGGCTGGAGATCAAACAGGGCATGTGGTGGAGAGAGCCCCCGCCTATTCTCTGGAGAGCGGTGCCACCTAGGGCAGGAGGGTTAAATCTTGCCCTGCTACTTTGGAAAAGCTGCTGACCCCTGCAGTAGATTTTTATACTTGTTCCTGGTGCCAGATGAACTTTAAAACCCCTCTAATCAGGGCTGGCCTTACCATGAGGCCAACTGAGGCAGCCACCTCAGGTGCCAGACTGTGGGGAGGGCACTGAGACCCAGCGTATAGAAAATTGTATCTGCTGCTGGTGCACATGTAGGTAGCCGAGCAGTCCCAGGAGAGGAGTAGAACAGGAAGCAGGCGGAATTGAGACCTTTCAAAGGTTTGGCCCAAGCGAGGGGGCGTCATTGGAGCTCCCCGCCTCAGGAGCCAGAATGTTGTGGGCCGGCCCTGCCCTTAATCCACTTCTACTTTTAAAAGAGCTCGTGGCTTCCACAGCAAAAAAGGCGTTTTCTCCTCCAGTTACCTTTCCCAATGCTAGTGCCCCCTCATGCCTACCC